GAGTACCGCAAGGAGAATGAGGAACGGGGCTTGCTTATTCTGAAAGCTGATTCTAATCCGAGTGTATCACAAATAGAGTGGGTGTTTTTAAGTTTGTGTGTGTGTGTGTGTGTGTGTGTGTGTGTGTCTGTTTCAGGGGTGGAGGAGGGGCAGCGGTACATTGAAAAGACGGTCAGTAAACACTCAGAGATGGTGGAGTCCATCAGAGAGCTGAGTGACGGACTACTGAAGTTAGAGGCCAAACTGAAGGTAATAAACAAATATACACAAACCCACTGGTGTACATTTACATTTGTCACATTTTTTGCCCAGTTAGGAATTATTTCCTGCTCTGAGATGATGATAAATGTGTTTCCTGGTCTGTTAATTACATAATGTGCAGATTATGAAACTGCTGTCACTGTGGTGTTTTCAGATGGAGAATCTGAAAAAGCAGCAGAACGACAGAGAGAAGGAGGTCAAGGAAGAGGAAGAGACGGAGCGAGGGAGAGAGAATGAGACAGAAGAGAAAGACAAAGACAATGAGAAGAAGTTGAAGGAAAACAGAAAGTTGAAAAAGAAGGAACAGACAGATAACCGCAGCAGTCAGGAGGCGGCTGACATGGTAAAACACTTTATTTGATATCATTATATATTATAGATGTTATATCATTAGATATTGTGAGGACATTAAAGCTCATCTCTGTCCTTTTCTTCCAGTACGAGCTGAAGGAGACAGGCCACACCCCGGAACTGACCGCCGAGCATGATGGGAAGGAGGTCCCAGTGAAGAGGCAGACAGCAGCCAATAGGAAGCCTCCGTTACAGAAGAGCCGCAGTCAGGACGCAGACAGACAGACGGTCGTCTCAGAGAGCAGGTAGACTGCTTTGATTTAGATCACATGACCTTCACCTCTAGCGCCACTCTCAGGACAAAAGTACAACAAGTCTGTTTCCATTCACCTGTTTTTATCCATATTTTCAATCTGTACATAAAAATATGACATAAATTCAAAAGAAGTGTTTCCTGTTGTGAGCAGAAACAGATAATTTTTTTTAAATGTATTAATTTGCACAATAAAACACAACAGCACAATCACAAATAAAAGAAAAGAGTTGAGATTTTTTTTAAAAACCCACAGGTTTGTGAAAGATAATCTCAAACTGAAAAGTTGCTTCCATTGAAGAAAACATCAGATCTGTGTGGAGCGATGAGACTTCCTCACATTAATACCTGAAACTAACCGGGCACGGTGCCACGATGGCTCTTTTTTTGCCCCATCAATAGTACTGACTCCTGTTCTCCTTCATTGTTTTAGGTACTAAACTGATCTTACATACAGTCCTTTTCTGTGGAAATTAAAATATGAATGATTTGAACATTAACATTTCAAATCTGGGGGCCGGACCTCACTGATTACTGTATAGATAAATTAAATCTATCAGAAAAGAGCATCAGCACTTACTGGCCGTTGCTTTGGTCTAAAGCAAATAAAAAATAATGTAATCTAATGTATTCTAATCTTTTCTTTGTTCATAGGTGAACAATGTTTAGCTCAAATCTTTATCTGTATCAATAATCATCAATAATAATATTTTGTATGATGGATTGTATAAATAAAGTTTCACTGTGTCGTCTCTCCTCCAGCCACAGACAGTTGTACAGCTCCACTCACACCGTCAGCCTCTCCTGCTCCCCGGTGGAGGCCAACCGACGGATCCGCGCCATACACAGCCAAATCCAACCCGCCGCCACTGAGCCTCAGGCCACGCCCCCTCCCTCTTCTGTGATTGGCCCATTGTTCTCTGACATTCAGAAGGAGTTTCAGAGGAAGGAGACGCGAGACATCTGTGGTTTAAACATGACGCCGCCTCAGGTTAATTATCTAAGAGTTAAAGAGAGATTTTGTGCCTAAATCACCTCCTAATACTCAACTTTACTTTCTACCCAGGATGCATCAGCAGGAGGTCTGTCGGAGGCGGAGCTCCAGGAACAGGAAGTGTTGACTGAGGATTCTCTCTCCAACGATGAATACGACTGTGCGTCACCTGACGACATTTCCCTGCCGCCGCTGGCAGAGACACCAGAGTCCAACATGATGCAGTCAGACGTTGAGGAGAGCTTCTGTTTCAGTTCCCACAGCGTCCACATCAACCAGTACAGCCACCAGTGCCGTGCCCAGTCAGACCACAGTGGGACTAGTACTGGTGCAGTCCGACAGCAGAGAGAGTCCAGACAAACAGAGAGTTGTCCAACTCCTCCCACCAGCCTTCACAGCAGCACCAGGTCTGTATTAGGACAAATCAGAGTCACATTAAGATGTGTTTTATGCTATTATGATTATAGACACATGACTCGCAAGCTACAAAGTAAAAAGCTGAACATTTTGTGACTGATTGAGACACAATGAGCCATCACTCTTCTGGATTCAGACTTTCCACCAGATGTTGGAACCTGGCTGCAGGGGTTTGTTCCACTTCAACACTGATGTTGAGTGATAAGGCCTGACCTGTAGGTATCATTCTAACTCATCCCAAAAAGTGTCTCAGGTTGATCAGGTCTTTCACACCAACCAAATTTCAAAAGACTGAAGCTAGAAGAGTGAAGCAGATTAATGCTCATTGTGTTGCAATTATGTTACATATGGAGGACATGTATAATTTAATGGCTGAAAACTGGAACATCTAGTCCAAGAATATGTAAACAAGACCTGGCGAAGCACATGCTAGCTTTTGGGACATGAACGCAATACTCAAAAAGTACTGAGTTTCGTTATCCTGCCTCACTAGTCGTAATCTAATGCTGGCGGAGGCAGGAGAAGGACAATGAGGACATGCAACAAAAGTCACCGGCCACATTTGAGCTCTGAAAGTGGCCTTGGTAGGAGCCATTGTCCACTAATCCCCCAGAAAGCCAGATTTAAGAATTTGTTCCTGTTTGTGTTACAGGTTCAGGTCAGATTCCAGTTCATTTGTCCAGAGTCCGTTGACAGTTCCTGCTCCAAGCCTGCTCACCACCACTCTGTGCAGCATCCTAAAAACTGCAGAGACCAACACTACCAACATCCCCCAGAGTGTTGACCTCTCCCTGGGTGGCTCTGAACTGAGCTTCCCAACTGGATCTAACCCAGCCTGCAAGAACATCACTCCAGATAGTTCTTCCAACAAGGAGATTGATGTCCCTGAGAAAATGAGTCCGTCCACTCAGTATAACCAGCCTCAGAAGACAGGCAACCAGAGTAAGATCACCCAAAAGGTTGCATCCAATGGTGAGACCTTGCCTCAGACAGATCCCACTCCCCAGTCTGCAGAGCTCAATCACAACCCCTCCTTACCCCAGTTCAGCTATTCTCCTCAGCCCTCAGGTCCAGAGCAGGATCTCCACAAGAACAAGACCCCTCTACAGGACACCATGTTCCCTGACTCTGAGATTGGACTCCACCAGGACATCAATTGCTCCCAGACTAGGAAGGAAACGCCCCGAGTCTCCAAACCTCAAACAACCAGTCTCACCAACACTAGCACCAGTACAATTACCCAGCAGACCATTTACCTCCAGTCCTCCCCTTCAAACAGTCATTGTATCTTGACACAGGCTAGTAGCAGCAGTTCACCCCAAGAAAGCCCTTTATCCCAGAGTGAAACCCTACCAAAGATTGATCCAGCCCCCCAGGCTCAGAGCTCCTGCCTCACAGAGTCTGTTCTCCACAAAGACAGAACCCAAGACACTGGGTTCCTCAAATCATGTGCAACTTGTTCACAAACCAGCACAGCCACCTCTCAAGAGAACAATCTTCCACAGGCTTACCCGGATTCCAGGAGTGGCCTTGATCAGGATGTACCTTCCTCCCAAACCTGCCAAGAAACACCATCCAGGCCCCAAAGCAGCAACCTAACCACAGCTACTACTCCAAAGAACATTTACTGTCAGTCCTCCCCTCCAAACAGTTACTACAACGTGCCACAGGCGAGCAGCAATCTCAGGTCACAGCAAGGAATCCCCTTCTCCCAGGGTAATGGAGGTCTACCTGAGGTCCATGCCCCCATTCTTCCAGACAGCTTCAGCAACATCAGTTTATCCAGCAGTACCATCAGTAATAGATTGAGCAACAAGCAGAGCCACCAGACAGTCTACTCCCATCACGAGTCCTCGACCTCCACCTGTACCCAGAAGTGTGTGCATGACCCTGAATCCCAAGCTTTGGCTCAGCAGGCTAATCTGCATGTCACCCCCCTTTCCTCTCCACTTCATCTACTAACTCCAGACCAAGACCCAAACATTTGTCAGCCCGTGGCCATCCGCGAGGAGATCAGGCTTACTCCTCAGATCCAAGGGCCTCCCCTTCCTGCTCCTCCTCCTCCTCCCCAGGCCCAGGCAGAGTCTCTTCCCCAGGGAAAAGCCTCTAAACCTGGCCCTCCCTGCTTCACCAGACCCCTGTCTAGAGCTACCGTTATGGAGGGCTCTCCAGTGACGCTAGAGGTGGAGGTGACGGGACACGCAGAGCCCACGCTCACCTGGTGGGTAGCATATAACCAGCTCCACAATAACACACAAGCTTTGTGAGATCATTAGCTACAGAACTCACCTTAAGACTTCCTTCACACCTGCATTAGCATGTGTCCTGTAGCTGAAATGAAATATCTGGATCATACCTTGTTTGTTGGTTTCCACTAATGGACAACAGTTGAGATCGAAGCTGTGTGTTCCTGTGAATCTTTATTGATCTATGGATCTCTTTGGGTTCTTCAGATAACGCCCAACCTTGAGCATAGTGTGATGAAGCTTAACAACTAGGACCCATGCTAATGCAGGTTTAAGGGATTGAAACATTTCTTGTATTCATCCACATAGTAATACTAAAGGTTAGATATATGAAATTGATTTGCAACTGGATGTCGTACTAGAGCACCAGCATCTCAGACCAAAACAATGAGACAGAAACAGAATAAAACTATTAAAGCATCTCTGTTTAGTGTTTCCAACATCACCAACTCTGGTTTTGGTGGAAAATAATCCTTAATTCACCAAACGTATGATGATAAAAAACAGCAGTTGTCAGTCGGAGCAGACCGGCTTATGGAAACAAACCACAGACAACACAGGCAGAGGGAGAGAGACACCATGTGACTGTGTATAGAGAATAACTGTTAGCTGCTATATTAATGTAACCTTAAAGTTTAATGAACATACATCATCCTGTAAGTCTACAGTTGGGTAAATACAGTTTGAGCTAGAGTTAGTTTAGCTGAAAATGCCCCTAACAGATTTCCTACCTATAGCTTTCCATATGTTTATTATCAATACTGCTTGTTCACAACTGTACGCTTAAAAGGAAAGAGTAGAACAATATCTAAAGCAGAGGCTGTGGAAAAATATAATTTTAAAATGCTAACAAGTTTTCTAACCATGCTTTTAGGAAGAAGTTTCAGTAGTTAGCTTACAAGCACTAACTGATGTTAGCTTGCTCACTAAGTGCAATCTGTATTCCACTCGTTGTTTTGACTCTTTGTTTTTCTGCACGTCAAACCAGCTGATTGATCCAACTTCTGCCAGGAGGCCGATTCAAAATATGAAAGACCCAAAATTCGGGGCGCATGGTAGCTCACATCATTGAGTCCTCGGCTCTGATTTTCCCACCTCTCTCTCTCTCCTTTACTAAAAAGCCCAAAATAAAACAGCTGCTTATGCTTATGTGCAGACAGAGAAACATGTTCAGCTATTGATGCTGGTATCGAACACCGGACGCTCCATGCAGACAGTTGAGATAAAGTAGCTGCTAATCCAGTAATGATTAGACGTTGCAGGTTTAAATGTACTTTTACTTTAATAATTAATTACTAATTAACATAAGTTTGCTAGTTAACAGTGTGTTTTATCTTGTTTGTGCGCACAGTAACAAACCAGAGGCAGTGAAGCTAACACCGAACACAACCCGCTGCATGAACACATCACATCATCCAGCCACATGGTTTCTAATCTTTAATCTGGCTGTCTGGTGACGCAGTCGGGGATCCTGTGATGTAAAATATTTACTGTGTCAGAGCTGTGGTCAGGCTTCCTCTGGCCTACAGTGAGGTTGTGTGCTGTCTGACCTGCTGTCATCATGGTCGCTTCAGGTTTAAAGATGGAGAGGTGTCAGCCACCGGCCCAGGCCGAGGGCTGACCTGCGCGCACAGGGAACACTTCCTGTATGCATCGGACTCTGATGGCGGGTTCCACGAGGCCCTGGCTGCCAACCATCAGGATGAGCGGCGGGCAGAAGATAACGGCGGCGGAGATAAGTGGCTGGTGGCCGAAGTGTTTGACATCATCAGTGCGGACTGGCAGACCTGGTTTGGTACACTGTGTGTTCTGCTGTGGCTGCTCTACCTGATAGTACTCTGATTACTCTTTTTCCACTACAGGAACTTAACCTGTAACCTTCGTTTAGGATATAAATCTTTAAACGCACTAAAGTGGTTATGAAATCAGTTTAATACTGATGTCTCTGTATGAACCACATAAACAAAACCATCAGACAGAAGATATTTATAGTTATTCTTAATGTCTGACACCGGGTCGGATTTCCCTTAAAATCAATGAAACTAGGAGGTAGACACTACCACTGTTGTCCACAGGGGGCGCCATCATAACATAATGGCAGTTCCTTGTAGGGGCTTTAAAAAGGCAACACATAGACAAATTTTGTCTATTTTTGTCACTGTTTGGTAGTAGAGCAGTTTCAGTCTGACAGAAAGGATCAGACAGTGAAGGAGAGCGACTCCAGACCCGTTCCCTCCAGAACCGTTCCCTCCAGACCAGTTCCCTCCAGACCAGTTCCTCCAGACCAGTCTCGACTTTCCCTTCCAGACCCGTCCTCCAGACCGTTCCTCAGCCCGTTCCCTCCAGACCAGTTCCCTCCAGACCAGTTCCCTCCAGGTCCAACTCTCTTGCCCTTCAGTCAGAGAACAGAGCTGGGACACTGAAGAAACTGTGGTGAGCAGAGACCTGCCACTGGGTCAGATTCTGCTTGATATCAATAAAACTAGCAGTTGAGACAATACTGCTTTGGACCACAGGGGGCGCCAGAATCAACACAATGAGAGAAAATAATGTATCACATCGTTGCTGTAAAGCTTTGTATCATAATATCTCTCTACTGTCAACCTAAAAGTTACATAAATAACAAGAATTATTACGTTGGATATTCTGAATGAGAATATAACCTGTATATTATTATTAACACCCGACCTTGCAGTGTTTATCTAAACACTATTCCGAGTTATTAATTAAGACCAAATTTCGGTTCATTTTGTTAATTTCCTGTAGTGGAAACATCCTGTAACACACACTGTTTATATGTCTGTTGGGGTCCAGACTCCACAGATTCACAGATATATATTATATTCAGATTTGTTTGAAACATTTAAATTAAAGTCCATTTCACATGAACACAACTGAGAATTTTGGGACCTAAAAAATAAGCTGGAGGGCCAGAAATAGTTTGAATCTCTGTGTTCCCTGTTATATTTTATTATATTATTATTATTATTAATAATAATAATTATATATTAATAAATATATTCTTATATATTTATATATTATAATATGTTTAAGAGTGTTGGTCAATAAATTAAAAATACAGTACAGTTAATTGATAATTAATTTAGCTGTAATTCTGTTGTTAAAGCAGCTGGAATAATGTTGATGGATGATGAAGCTTTAACATCTTATTTTATTTTATGGAAGTCCATTTGAGACCAAACAGAGGCTCTAGAATGAGGCTCTAAAGGGTTTCAGTTGGTTGTAATCTGAAGTTTCACCACTAGACGGCACTAAATCCTACAAACTGGTCCTTTTAAAGAAAGATAAAAATACAAAGTGATCACAGTAATAACTAGAAGATAAGTAAAAACTGCAACTTTATTTATGAGATTGTTTTAAGAGATTAAGTTAAATTTTTGATGCGGATATTTTTTTATTATATAAAAAAAAAAGACTGATACAACAATAATAGAAACATAAAACATGAAAAAAACAAGTATAGTTATAATTATATTAAGTTGAATGGTGAGAAAAGTAACTTTTTACTTTTGGTCAGACAAATCGTAATTTAAGATAAATTGTTTATTTTATCAATCATTATTTAAATCAAAATGAGGAGATGAGTCAGAATATTGGTAAACCAAAAAAAGATTTAATGTCTCATAGTTTTTAATTCTAAGTAAACACATATTTTATGGCCGTAAATGGACTTCCATATATCGACCTTAGTTTCCTTTTAATACATCAATGCTTTTATTCTGAAAATCCTCTCAGGCATTAGAAGAAGATAAATAAAGCCTAATAATAGCATCAATAAAAGTGTTAAATATAAAATGATTTTCTCACTGCTCTCATAAGTTAACCTCTCCTGATAAATAATGTCTGTGTCCATTTAAGGAGAGAATATTTAAAATTTAAGGGAATTAAGGCAACACGTGGTTGGTGAAGAGAAGATGTTTGTCTCTTATCCTGTTTTGATTGATTAGATTTTTGTTTCTTTGAAATAAAGAAAAGATTCATGTTCCTGCTGTCCTGTTTTTATTAAATCCTGCAGTTAGTTCAGTATTTGTTCTTTTATTTTAAACACAGCTGTCAATAATGTTGGTACGGTAGCAGTTGGTTAATCCTGCAGGGAACTCTGGGTACATTTAAGGGACTTTGTTTGTTTGGTGGGTTTCTAGAGGATCTTCTTTTACATTTATTTTGAAATTAACTGGTGTGCATTCACTTACAGTGGGAAATCCCAGCTCCATAATCATCGTGGACCTTTAAACTGGGTATGCACAATACATATCGGGGCTGATGAATGATTGGTTGCTTATAATTTATGTCTTCTCATGCAAAATGTTGCTAATGATGAAAACTAATGACGTAGTGTCTCAAATTAATGACACAGTATCACAAAGTTAAAATATTGATGAAACACGAACGACGCTAACAGCAGTTTCTGTTATTTAAGTATAATTTGTACAATAATATGGTAAATAATTAATACAGTGTCACAGGTAGAGTGCAGAGTTAGTTAATCCTTAATAAAAGAGAAAATAACCAATCATTTAAAGGAATACAAATGCTTAATGCATCTTAAGACATATATATACACATTATATTTATAAAGCTGCACAATTAATCCAAACATGAATAAAATCACTATATGGTTAAATGCAATGTAAAATGTGACAAACAGCATTATAATGAAAAGATTTACTGTTATGCAAAGATTTGTTTTATTGACAGATGCTCACTTTGCAATGCATAATAATAATAATAATAATAATACTCAAATATGCATAATACTAATAAAGCAAAAACAAAAATAGCCTCAAATAAAAACAATACCTATAATAAAATTATATTATTACTATATATTATTATTAGTATGTTGTTTATTTGGTACAATTTGTGAGGCAACAATGATCATTCCCACATTAATCCTGAGTCATACGGTAAAATATCTGTCAAAATAATTACAATTCGATGTGTCGGCTGTATCGTCCCTCTGTCCCGAGTGTAATATCATTTCTAGTAAAATTGGTATTTTAGATATCACAGAAAAATAAAAGGTCCACAGTTTGTGCAGTTATTGTGATCTATGAAGTCCGAGGAGTTCTCCTGAGGGATAAAACTACATCGTTAAATATTCCGTTAATGTGTCATTTATTTAGAAATCAGAGTTCCTGCTGTATTTTAGAGGATATAAAACATCTGTAAAGAGACTACTGATCATTCAGTTTGGCAGAAATCACTCATCGGTGGAGGAGAGGGAGCTGCTGGATGAGGAAGAATGTTTTTAAATCCTCCATCTGTAATCCCTGTGTCTCAGCCTTTCAACCATCAGGTGGGTAAAAACTGCAGGTTGTCAACTTCTGTTTAAAATATACGAATATGTGAAATGATCAGTTATCGTAACGGCCGGAGGAAAATCCACATTGTGCATCTCTAATGCTAACTTTATCTTAACAGACAAAAAAACAGAGTTCAATGTTTTTTTCCACTAAATAATAAAACTAAGTTCACACTCAGATCCACTAACATCAGTGTAAACATAACATTATTAAATACAATTAGGGCTGCAACTAACAATCTGCTGATTGTTTCCTTCATTTATTGATCAATCATCAACAGTCATATTCTATCAGAGACAAAAGGACGTCCCAGAATCTCAAAGATATTCATAAGCTCATTTTAAAGTTTGCTGTCGGTGTTATATTTGTGATTTCTGTAACTGTTAAAGCTTCAGGACCAGATTCCTGTGAGGAAGCAGCTGTTCTGTCATAAATTGTGGGATGTTGTTGTTGTTAATTACCAGCAGCAACCTAAGCTTTATTTCATACATTCAGGGAAGGTCCAGTGAGGAGGAGTAAAGTAAAAGAGTAAAGTTGACTATCTGGAAAGTGCTGAACATATCTGTCTGTTATTATAACCCTGATCAACCAAACTCCATTCAAAAAACAAGCATTTTAAAACTCACAGACACACAGAACCGATAAAGTATAAATTCAGACTTTTTTTAAATCGCCATCACGATCCATTTATTGACATATGATACCAAATGAATAATCGGTTGATCAATAACTGCTGCATTAATCCATGATTAAAATAATGCAGCCTCATTCAGATGTTTGGTTCGGTGTCTGCAGCGACTGTCTCTCTGTCTCTTTGTGAAGTAAAACCACTGACAGGTGTGACGACTTGCATAAAATGGCTCCCCTGTCCTTCCCATGATTCCCTGCAGGACTGTGCGGAGCTGACCAATGGCGCGCCCTGCCCTGCGTGATGTCACCGAGGTATAAAGCCCCCCGCCGTCCCACCGGCTCCTCTGAGCAGAATCAGCGTTCCCGGCCTGGACGCCTCGGCTGGAGGGACTGCTGTCAGAAGGAAAAACAAAACTACACGGCACTGACGGCCTGTAGTTTTGTTTTTTTCTGTGGGGTTCCTTCGAGGCTCAGCTTGTTCTCCTTTTGGATTTTCTGACTAAATTTTCTGGATAAAGAGATTTTTGATTTTCCTGAAGACAGCCCCCCCTGGGCATCCCAGGCATCCTTGTGCAGACAAGTAAGTGTCTTTAAAGTTTTCCAGAGTGTTGTGATTGACGAGCAGCAGCTGACTGTCGCCTGCTGGTTTAACACCCAGACTCTACATTTCCCACCAGACTCCATTCACTTTTCTACTCACTTCTCAGAAAGTGACACTAACACATTGAAGGCTTTTTGCTGCTTTTCCACGTTGAAGGTTATAATGGGACGTCCCAGAATAGCCCCTGATAGCATCAGACCGGACTCTCAGCTGGGCGGCTGATGGCTTTTTAAGGGAATCAGCAGCAGGGCTATCAGTTGCTCCTCCAGCTATGTGCCACATGGTGGCTGTCAATCAAACTG